CAGTGCTATGTTCAGTGTGCTCAGAATACTTGATCTGATGAGTAAGGGATCAGGGGCAGTGTGATTTCCCTGGAAATTCAAAATCATCAGTACCTATGACTCATTCATAACAGTACAGCCAGCAGCACCTGGATCCAAGAACAAAGTTTTTGTCATCGCTCAGGAGGGCTAAAGACCTCAACATCCATCGATAGCAAGTGGGCAAAGAGAGAACATCCCAGAGGGTGCAATGGTTTCAGTGGACCAAGTCTGGACCCCAAACCCACATCCTATCACATGCTGCTGTGGGACCTTGGGCAAATCACTAAACGTCTCTGAGCCTCGGTTTCCTCATTGGTGGAAGAGAAATAATAACACCTGCTTTAAAGGGTAGTTGCTGTTAGTTTCAGGTGAAATAATAATGCATGTTATATGCAATGCTACACTGTCCTATTATAATCTGGGTTTAGCGCCTTATATCCACTAATGGAAAGAACAGAAAAATTTTAAAAAGCTGTCTGAAAGCCTCCTACTGTGAATATCCATTGGAGAATATTTTCTACCTCAGTTTCCCTTCTAATTCCAAGAACCCTCTAATCCCACTCTCTGCAGAACTGACTCCATCTTTGTAATTCAAGTGTAAGCTGCCCATTGCAGCCCCCTAGCTGCAGGGTGGACCCACCAGACCTCTTACCTAGGAGTTTAAGTACTGAACTTACACCTGCTTGGCCCCATCTTTCCCTGGGCAGAAGCAGCCTCCTGAGAGGATGGGGAGCAGAGATGAGAAGAATCCAGACTCCTGGTTCCAGCATCTCCAATACCTGGCACCATGGCCTGCTTAGGTTACTTGATTTCTCTTTCTATACAGGCTCTTCAGAGTCTAGTCTTTGTCACAATCAGTAAGAATTAGTATCAACTGTATATGACAGGCATCAGGACATGACTGTATGACATCTAGTTTGGCGACCTTAAATACTGTGATTGCATTATGTAGGCAGAAGCCGCATAGGATGATGTCAATTTTAGGAGGAAAGAAAGCAGTATGTTTTGTTTGATGGCTTAACAGACAATCACATGGAAGCTATACATATGTGCCTAGAAATGATCGCAGGGATAAGCCACAGAGCTACGGCTGTGGTACGGCTGTCAGTTATTTGGTTCAAGAAATTAATTTAAAAATTGAACACATCAAATACTATAATTCTGGGCTGCTATGGGTATTTTTTAAACTGTTTACGGACCTTTGGGCTTTTATACTTATTTTTAATTTTCTGTTTATGTTTATTCATGTCAAGTGTGCTATTCCCACTCTATGTGCATGCAGTAAAAGCTAAATTTTGGCAGGTTAGAAAACAGTGTCCAGTTCTGACTGCATTTTGTAAGTGTCATGAGTGACTGACCCAGTTTTCAGACCCAAGCTCTGGTGTCTCCCGAGTCCTCTTTCTCCCCTTGTGTCTGCCGACCCACCAGCAGTGTGTGGCCCAGCTCAAATGCACTCTCTCTTTCTCCTCCACACTCCCACCCAGTCTGGGTCTCACCGTTTCGTGTGGCCAGTACACTGTCTCCTAACTGATTCTGCAGCTTCCTTCTCTAAGAAGAGAGCATTCATTCTGTATATGAAACTCTACTGCTCTTCTATTTAGTATACCTCACTGGCTTCCCATCACATGTGGAAAAAAAATTAACTTCCTCATTTGGTCTGTCATGGACCCTATGCCATCTGGCTCCTGCCAACCTTAACTCCCTCCACCCATCCCCTAATCACGGTGTAGCCACCTGGCATCTTTCAGGGCCTGGGAGAAGTCCTTCCTGCCTCAGACCTTGGTGTTTGCCATTCCCTCTGGCTACAATGTTCTCCTGAATGCCACATGCCAGGTCTTCCGCCTCGCTCCTTATAGCGTATCTTGTGTCAATTTCTACACTGCACTGAGGCTTTCTCTAACCACCCTTTCCATGTAACTACTCCCACGGTTATGCCTAGCCTGGTACCCTGCTTCATTTTCTTCACTGTCCTTAGAATTTTCTCAAGTTGGCTCATATTTGCTTTGCCTCTCCTGATTGAAGACCAAGCTTCAAGATAGCAAGGATTTTCTCCCACCCGTCCCTATCTTGTCTACCCACTTTATCCGAAGTGCTTTTTAAGAAAACACGTCTGGTCCATGCCAGGGTGTGTTAATAAGTGGGGCTGTGGCGTGGCTGTGACCGTATGTGTTCCTTACATTTGACTTATGAATCAATTCTTTATGTTACAAAAAGATATTAAGAAGACAAACAAATATATTAATAGGGAATTTTCATAGCTTTAGTATTTTATTTCATTTTTCAAATGCTCAGTAATTCTCAGCCTCATTCTTGCTAAGCACTATGCCGCACATGGATATGAAATAGATGCTCTCAGTCTGTACTAGAACCTTTTTTGTTCATACTTCCCACACTATATATATACTAAAAAATTGCAGTCAAGCATCTTTTTTGAGCTAATTTTTATGGCAAAATATTTAGGCTATTTCCAATGAATTGCTGATTGCTCAACATTTACGTTTTTTCCCCAACTTTTTGTAGTTCACTAACATATTAGAAATCATGGAGGTTTTTAAGATAGTGCTGGAAAGAAATCAACTTGAAAAGAAAGGCCACGGACACAATTCTGAGGAAGACCTGGGTTCTGGGGAGAGGAGCGCTCCAGGCTGCCTTAGACCCCCATACACAGCCAGGTCTCGGCCTCCAGGGAATGCCCTCGCCCTCGTTCTCCATTTCACATTGAATTGGGCAACCATCTGGCTCTACCATTCGTGTTTTTTTCTTCTCCTTTCCTCCCTTTTTTCTTTGCTACAGAAATTTTAATTGCCTCATCTTAACCCAGCTTCAAAGACAAGAATGGGAGGTTAGAGCCCTTCGATGGGACTCTTTTCACTGGCTTTAGGTGACTGGCAAGGGAACAAGGGACCAAGACGTCTTTCTTTTCACACACCATATGCAGCAGAAAGAAATCCTCAGATAATCTGGCAAGGGGAGGGTAAAACACAGCTTTTTTACAGGAGCAATTCTACGGAACTAAAGTCAAATGTGATTTTAATAGAGAAACATACAGGTGCGTGAAAAATATGCAGCTGTGATGCTCAGTGTGAGCAAGACCTTGGGCCTCAGGTCAACCACAGCTCCAGGCGAGACTACCTTTGCGCCTGCTCTGCATGCAGTGAGTGGCAACAGTCACCTCACTAATTCCTGGGAAAATCTCAGCAAGTGTGATCTCGTGACTCAGAAAAATGACCTTAGAGCTGGAGTTACAGCTCAGCGGGGCAGTACTTGCTCAGTGCTCAGTATGCACAAGGCCTTGGGTTCAATCTCCAATACACAGAAAGAAAACAATAAAAATCACATTAAAGTCTCAATAGCTAGGCATGGTGGTGCATACCTGTAATCCTAGCACTTGGGAGGCTGAAGCAGGAGGATGGTTGCGAGTTTGAGACCAGCCTGGACTACAAAGTAAGTGCAAGGTGAGCTTGAACTACATAGTAAGACCCTGTCTCAAAAAGACCAAAAAAA